CCAGTGGCAATGAATCGCAGAGTTCATGCAAAGAAGGAAGGCAAGTCCACCGGAAGATGAGGGCTGCCTGCCCCAGCAAGCCCGTGGAAGTTCAGTGGGACATTCTCTCCTGGGTCTGCTGGGTGTGGAGTTTGGTGAGATACAGTACTGCATTCCATTCAAGAGGGTGCCAGTTTCTCTTAGCTTCAACTGAGAAAAGGGGTAGGTTCAGGGGACTCAAACATAGACTTTTCTTTCTTTCTTTGTTTTTTTCGAGACAGGGTTTCTCTGTATTGTTTTGGAGGCTGTCCTGGAACTTGCTTTATAGACCAGGCTGGTCTCGAACTCACAGAGATCTGCCTGCCTCTGCCTCCCGAGTGCTGGGATTAAAGGCGTGTGCCACCAATGCCTGGCAAACATAGGCTTTTCTGTAGGGTGTTCAGCAGCCTGGGACAAAGTGTAAAAGGATTGAGGCAGCTTGAAGATGAACAGTATGGATCTAAAGCACCGTTCTTCAAATGGGGCTGCAAAAATAAACTTTTAACTAGACAAGTAAATCCCTATTTAAAGCGCAGTGGGTAGTCTTCTAAAAATACAGTCACATCCCTCTTCCGGTGTGAGAGCTGGCTCTAGACACGGCTGGAAAAAAAAACCCTGCAAGCATTGACTCCTACCCAGAAGGCACTGTTAACTCCCCCATTTTACAGACGGAAAGGTGGAGAATGGATGCGCCTGGAATTCTAGCACTTGGGAGGCTGAGAGACGAGAATGTCGATAAGTTCTAGGCCACCCCAGGAAACACAGACTTTGTATCAGGAAGAGAGAGAGAGTGTGTGAGAGAGAGAGAGGAGAGAAACTTGGGTGGATTGCTACTGAGGACATACAGGCTAAGTAGCTTCTGACAGAGACTCAGCAAGGAGACCTGAACCCCAGCATCTTGTTCCTGAGTCACGTGTTGAGGGTAGTCACTATTTCTGTCTTTCACAATGACAGTAACCTTTCTATTGCACTCGCCTGCCTCTAGCAGAGCCAACTGTAAGGGGGTCGAGGAAGGTGTCACACAAGGAGGTGAACTTCCTGAAGAGATAAAAGGATGAAACCCGGTGCAAACTGACTTCATCAACCTGGAGTCTAATGACAGCAGTTGACTCCCAATGTGCTTAAGCCCAGTGCAATTTGAAAAAAAAAAGTTTCCTGGTGTAATACAATCCCTGGTTCACAAGAAAACATTAATTGCATAGAAACAACTCAGACCACATGTCAAGTCTTCCAAGAGGGTGGATTCTAGAGATAGGCAGCTAGCTGTACTAGCTAACGGGCCTAAGGGAGTCTAGCCTGGTCTCAGTCACACAGATAGTGTAGAGGTTATTTTGGTTATTAGCCACCTCTGGTTCTGGTTGGGGGAGCTGGGAGGAGCCTCAGGCTATCAGGATCATTTAGATTACTAGCCACCTCGGATCCTGGTTGTCAGAACTTGATATGGTCAGGCCAGACAGATAACACAGATTAATTGGGCCCATGTCTCAGTTTTCTGGATGGAAGAACAGGGCTTTCATCTCTCGAATTGGAAAGACAATCCTGTGTGCTGAACACTCCTGGTTTCTCTGGAGATCTGTGGGTTCCGGGGCCTCCATGGTATGCTCCCGGTCTAGCTGGACCATACTCACTGGACCTGATGGCTTTCCAGCAGAACCTGGAAAACCTGCTCTGTAGCCATGGTATGTAGAAGGAAATGCCCTTGTGACAGAATTCCAGATGGACTCAGACCTTGTTGGCTACCAAGGTCAGAATCAGAACCAGGACAGGCCTTCCTGTGCACAGGGCAACCAAAGGGCATCTTTGCTAAAATTGATGTAACAAGGCCAGGAAACTAGGAAGGGACCGAAGAGACTGGGGGAGTCCTCAAGGGAGGGGACTAAGTGGAAGGGGAATCTTAGCAGTGAGTAAAGTGGAAACAGGGAGACCAAGAAACAGTAGGAGCTAGGGATAGAGCAACTGAAATTAAATGTACACGAGGACCCCATGTGGAAACTTGTTGTTTTGTAAGCTAATTTCAAAATTGTTTTAAATGCTGGCTGTGGTGGTACACATCTCTAATCCCAGAACTCAAGAGGCAGAGGCAGGTGGATCTCTATGATTTTGAGTCCAGCCTGGTCTATATAGCAAGTTCTAGAGCAACCTGTGTTATACGGTGATACTCTCTGCCTCCAAAAAACAAATGACAACAATTAAATACCCTTTTATGGTTGGTGAGTACCTATTGCTGAAGATAACCACGCACTTCAGTAACGGCCCAGGGGCCCCTGAGATGGAACTGACCTGTATGGCCCCTCCCTGATCCTAGCTTCCATGGTACCAGAAGGTGCTGGCAAGCTTCCAAAGGAGGAAGGCAACCAACAGTCCCACCCAGCTACGATGCCTATGAGCCACATCACAGCATAGCACAGTTCACCCTACGGGTGCACCAGCGGCAATGGCACAGTTAACCCTACGGGTGCACCAGCGACAATGGCACAGTTAACCCTACGGGTGCACTAGCAGCACACACGCCTTGGTGGTAACCAGCAGCTCTTTAACTGGGCTTAAGACTTGCCCAACAAGAGATGGTGGTTGTTGGAGAAGAATCTACAACCACCCTCCTAAACCAGAATAGCCCCTAACAGTAATCTGTAAACATTTGTCCTTACATCCACAGATAAGGGTAGCCTTCACGCCCCGCCCCCAAATCAAGGAAACTTGTCTTTGCCACAGACAGTGCCCACTATAGAAAACTACAGCCAATCAACACGAGACCTGTGGGGCCCGGTCCCAATGGGCACATCCACAAAGGCTCAGAAAGCTCCGCAGAAGACGGCATGGAAAGACGGTAAGAGCCAAAGGGTCAGGGACTTTGCTGCGAGATTGGGTCTCCTAGAAACATCGGAAGCTACACCCTTAAAGTCTCACCAACACGACTGCCCAAAGGTGAGCCGAACAAGGAGGCCACCAAGGAACATGACAAACTGCAGAGGAAAAAGTCCACTCCAGGTCTCAGCCCTACACAAAGAACTACAGGCAACTGAGCAAAGCCGGGGCTGGGAGAGGCGGCCCTCCAACAGGGACTGTTGTGACAGTCCTGACCGTGTGTTTTGGGGAGGACTGTGTGGGAACTTGGGAACTTTGGGCAGAAAAGCCATTGAGTGTTGAAACCTCAGTGAACTGTTCTGTAGGAGCTTGGAAGATGCTGAGAGCAACACGGATGATGGATGCCTGGCTTGTGAAATTTCGGAGGGAAGCAAAGACTCTATCGGGCCTTTTATGTGAAGAATCTGCAGTATCCAGTCAGCTGGGGCTAAGAGTTGGCTGAGGTTAACCCGAGTAAAACCTTGCTTTGCTGGGGCACTGGATGCTGGCCAGCTGGGACTGAAGAGTCACCTGTGATTAAGAGGACACCGGCATCACTGAGGTGAAGTCCTCTGGGAAGCGTTTCCTCGGGCTCAGCACACAGATGCTACAGATGCTGTGGTTCAGAGGTGGCCAAGGTTGTACCTCCCGCTGGCAGCTAAACTTGGTAGTGTAAGAGTCACCCTAGTTCTGGGTGGTGGTGGCGCACGCCTTTAATGCCAGCGCTTGGGAGGCAGAGGCAGGCGGATCTCTGTGATTTCGAGGCCAGCCTGGTCTACAGAGCGAGCTCCAGGACAAACAAAGCCAGAGATACACAAAGAAACCCTGTTTAAAAAAAAAAAAAGAGTTGGGGCTGGAGAGGTGGCTCAGAGGTTAAGAGCACTGACTGCTCTTCCAGAGGTCCTGAGTTCAATTCCCAGCAGCCACATGGTGGCTCACAACCATCTGTAATGAGCTCTGTGCCCTCTTCTGACCTTCAGGCATACAAGCAGACATAACGCTGTGTATATAATAAATAAAATCTTTTTTAAAAAAGTCACCCAGTGGTGCTGGTTTTGAAGGCACGAAGGGGTCGTGGAGAGCATCTGAGGCTTGGCATTGTGTGGCAGGGTTGGAGTTCCAGAAGAGAGCCCAGGAGAGGCAATTGGCGAAGCTGCATCCCAGTTGAAGCAAGATCTCCAGCATTTTTGGAGAGGCCAGTACCATGGATGATTACCAAGAATAGCAGCAGCCGTGGATGGAGCCAGCAGAGCCAGCTGGAGTCTAGAAGAAAAGCTGTGTGTACGTACGGCAGAGGGCAGAGCCAAAGCTCCTCCTTTGGGCGAGCCCGAAAGATCATGAGTGAATCCCAGACATTGAACATTGAGTTAGTTACAACACTGGAGTTTGGTTTTGCTCTGTTCAGATTGTGAGTGTGCTCTGGTTCTTCTCTCCTGAAGGAAGAAAGTATTTAATTTACTTTTTACTTCACAGGAGCCCACAGTTGAGAGACCTGGAATTTCAAAATGGTTTGGATTTTTAAGAAGGACTGGTTATTTTACTTTTTTTTTTTTCCGAGACAGGGTTTCCCTGTATAGCTTTGGAGGCAGCCTTGGAACTAGCTCTTGTAGACCAAGCTGGTCTCGAACTCACAGAGATCCACCTGCCTCTGCCTCCCGAGTGCTGGGAGTAAAGTCATGCGCCACCATTGCCCGGCCAAGAGGTTGAATTTTTAAAGACTGTGAGACTGTTTTTAAAAACTTGGAATATTTAAGCTGGACAGTGATAGCGCACACCTTTAATCCCAGCAGAGGGATTAAATTGCCCCTCCTCCCAAAACTGAGGTGTTTATATTACAATGTTGGTATTAATGTACGACCTGGGGGAAGAACAAGAAAGAAAGGGTTATGGCTTAACAGCGATGCGCCTGTGCGTCAACTTTACAAGGGGTCAATTGTGCTGACTAGTTTTAGGTCAACTTGGCACAAGCTACAGTTACCTGAGAGGAGGGAGCCTCGACTAAGACAGTGCCGCCATAAGATCCAGCTGTGAGGCATTTTCCTAATTAGTGACTGATGTGGGAGGGCCCAGCCCATTGTGGGTGGGGCCATCCCTGGGCTGGTGGTCCTGGGTTCTATAAGAAAGCAGGCTGAGCAAGCCAGCAAGCGGCTTCGGGGTCAGTTCCTGCCTCCAGGTTCCTGCCCTCGCTGCTTTCGACGACAAACTGGCATATGAGACTGTGAGTGAAAAAAAAATCTGTAGATCTGACCACAGTGCCCTGTCTTCTACATGGCATTCAGACTTACTATCCCATCCTCTCTCTTTCTGCCACTCTGCAGCAGGCCCAGCCCCACCTGTGTCTCAGAAACGGAAAGGTCACTGAAGAGTCCCTCTTAGTCCACCAGCTTCATCCCCGTTATGAAGGGCTTTTCCTAGGAGCCTATTTAAGAAAGCGAGATGTGTTAAGGAGAGTAAACAGGACTCTTGCAAACAAGGCGTCCGGTGACGCCAGAGCACAGCAGAGGATTCTGGGCGTCTAGAAAACCACAGGATGAGAAAGCATTGTGCTGATACTGGAGCCAGCACGAGGAGCAGCGCTCCTTCCTAAGGCCGTGCACTCTCTCCTTCAGTCAGCAAGCAGCAAGCTCTGCTTCCTCAGTATCCCCTGGTCCTTCCCCTGTCCCGGAAGTGCCCTATGTAATGGGCAGAGGAATGCCTGGAGATGATTACTACTCTGAGTGAGCCTAGAGGAATGGGCCTGGCCTCCAATTAAGACCAAGCCAAGCCCGGGAGAGGAACTAAATGAAGACAAGGCCCTAGTGATTAACTGGGGTCTGGGCAGCCAGGAACTGAATGAAGCCTGCACATGCGCCCTTACCAAGATGGTGAGCAGCTGTGTGCTCTGAAACAAGGACCACGGATCAAAAAGAAAATCCTCTCCCCGTAAGTCAAAGGTTTTCCTGCCAAAGCAGTTTACGGCGTGTGCAGAAGGGGAGCAGAGTGAGGAAAGGTCTTTATGTTTCAGTTTGTGCTGCCGTGAGAGTGGGGCCAGCCTTTAGCGCACAGCTGACCTACAAGGGGTCATATCCGTAAAGAAAACCGACTCTCCAGTCCCAGGAGCCATCAGTTGTTGATAGTTCCTCGGACTGGGGGCTGGGGAGTCTTTTGTGAGTGGTTTTGCATGGAGGTATAAGCTTTCAGCCAGGCTGGGACTTCCGGCTACCTTGGTCTGCCCTAATATCTGGGAGGATTGTAGCTCTGACTTTTTTTTAGCAATGGCCCATGTGACAAGTGTGTCCACAAAGCCCCGGATGTGTGCGGTGCAATGGGGAGAGGAGGAGACTTGGTGATTTCTAGCCAAACAGGAAACTCATTTGTCAGGGAGAAAAACCTCGTTTAAGGCCAGTGGTTAATGTGCCAGAGTCAGAATTGTCACAACTGTTGACTGTGAGAGTAGACAGACAAGAAGCCTCAAGACACCTGCAGAGAGTTTCTGTGCTGGGTAAGGGGCTTCTCCTGACATGCCCCAGTTAACAAATGGAGAGGAGCTCCTGCACCCCAACACTCGACTCATCCCCACCATCTGCCTTTTCCAGCTTGTGGGTCCTGAGAGCACCCTGGTTTCCCAGCTTGCTAATTCCCCCCAAGACTTTGGCATCCTACGATTGGGGAGCTCTCCCCCACAATATCCGATCCCTATGCCCAGTCCTGAATCCCTTCCTCCTTACTCTTTTGGAGTTCCTAATCCAAGGTGGGCAAGGTGTCCTGGACCCTCAATCTAGTGTTTAAGCCTACGCACACTAGGAAATGAGTTTCCTAGTCTCTCACCGTACCCCTCCGGGCCTCTCCTCGCCATCCTCTCAATCAGGGCACTGGTCTTCTCTCATAACCCCATCGCTAGGCCTGGACATGAGTCAGGTGTCCTTACCCCTCATTGTCACCTGCTAAGTTTCTCCATAACCCTTGTGACCTACGTTGAGTTTATGTTATGTGAACCACTACTGCCTTCTCCTGCCCCGGCCCCAGATCACTTTTCTAGTACATTAGATCCTGGTTTTCCTCTACTCTTAGCTTTCTCATACCATTTTACTTCAGCACACATGTGGAGATGACCCCTGTGCATGCCCAACCTCTGAGCCCATCGATCTTCCCATCGCTCAACCCATGGCTGGGACTACTGATGAGAGTACCTCCGTCATGATCTCAGTCCTCTGTACCCCATTCTTTCGGTTTCATCTCACTGCAGGCATCCTTTGACCCCCCCACCCCAGCACCTCTCACCTCTCAGTCCCTCCCCCCTTGACCTTTGCCCACCCTTCTTGTCTCCTTCCTGACCCAGAATCAAGTCCATGGTCAGTCATTATACCAGCATGTAAGGACTCAGGCACTATGTTGGTCCGCCCCTGTCACCTGGCAGAATGCACTCAGGCAGTGCCCTGGTCAGCCCGGGGTTCCATGATTGGGTAGACTGCACGCAGATGCAAGGGACCCTTTATTAAAAGGTTTATTTTTTGTATATACAGTGTTCTGTCTTCGTGTATCCCTGCAGGCCAGAAGACGCACCACATCTAATTACATCACGTGGTGGCTGGGAATTGAACTTAGGACCCCTGGAAGACTAGCTAGTGTTTTTAACTACTGAGCTCTCTCTCCAACCCCGCAAAGGACCCTTTAAAAGAAAGACCTGTACCCACTCACCCTCTCTTTGCTGCTCCTCTCTCTTCCGTTTCTCTTTCTCGCTGTTCCCCTGGGGCAGACAGGACTTTTCCTGTCTCCCTCCTCTTTTCTGTGCTCTCTCTGTCCATCTCTTTACCTCTTTTCTCTTTCCTTCCCCCTTCCCTCTGCTTTCTAATAAAACTTCTCACTAAGCTCTGTCTGCCTGTCGTGTTTGTCCCCCTCCTCGGTCACCCTAGATAGCCATGGAATCCACCAAGGTCCCCCATGCAAGGTTCCCCTCTCTGTATCCTAACAGCCCCTCTGCATGCCCTCCTGAAAGCAGACTCAGTCACTGTCTGTCTCTTCCAACCACAGTTGAGTACAGCCAGAGGAAAAACAGACCGGCTTTAGAAGCCATGGTGATGGTGAGCTGGGTGCCCTGGTTGATTTTATGTCAACATGACAGAAGCTAAAGTCATCTGAGAGAAACTCAATTAAGAAAGTACCTCCATAAGATTAGGCTGTACACAAGCCTGCAGGGCATTTTCTTAATTAGTGACTGATGGGGGAGGGCCCAGCCCATTGTGGGTGGGGCTACCCCTGGACTGGTGGTCCTAGGTTCTATAAGGAAACAGGCTGAGCAAGCCATGAGGAGCAAGCCAGTAAGCAGCACCCTCCATGGCCTCTGCATCAGCTCCTGCCTCCAGGTTCCTGCCCTGTGTGAGTTCCTGTCCTCACCGCTTTTGATGATGAGTTGATATATGGAACTAAGTGAAAGAAACTGTTGCTTCCCCAAGTTGCTTTTGTTCAAGATGTTTCGTCACAGCAATAGACACCCTACCTAAGACACTGGGGTGCAGTTCAATTGATAGAGTGTGCTCAAAGCTCTAGCCTCAGTCTTCAGCACTGCCGAAACCTAGCACAAGAAAGGATACCTGTAATGTCAAGACTCTGGAGGTAGAGGCAGGAGGATCAAAAAATCAGTTGGACAACATGGGAAGTTTGAAATCAGCCTAGGATATATGAGACCCTGTCTCAAAAAAAAGTAAATAAATTTATGAGAGTGTGATGGGGGTGTCCTTTTGTATATATGTTTCTCTTATTGGTTGATGAATAAAACATTGTTTAGCCAATAGAGGCAGAAAGATAGGTGGGACTGGAAGACAAGGAGAATTCTGGGAAAGGTAGGTAGAGAGGGTGGAAAAAAGGATGTCATGGAGGAACCAGGAGATGGAACACACCAGGCATTCTCCAGTAAGATAAGGCCATGTAGAAATACATAGACTTATGGAAATGGGTTAATAATTAAGACAGAGGTAGTTAATAAAAAGCACTAGCTATCGGACAACAGTTTTTTTTTTGTTTTTTTTGTTTTTTTTGTTTGGTTTTACGAGACAGGGTTTCTCTGTTTTGGAGGCTGTCGGTCCATCCTGGCCTCGAACTCACAGAGATCCGCCTGCCTCTGCCTCCCGAGTGCTGGGATTAAAGGCATGCACCACCAACGCCCGGCTTCGGCCAACAGTTTTATAACATAGCGTCAGTGTGCTTATTTGGGACTGAGAAGGGCAGCAGGACCTGGCAGAACAAAAAAAATCTCAAGCTACAAGGGTGAAACTCAAGCCACCCCCTCAACATTGTTCAATAGTCCTTTGAATAAGAAAAGCTTTTATTATTCTATGGGTATGTATAGTTGCCTGCATTTACATCTGTACCACACACATGCCCATTGCCCAGGGAGGCCACACGTCTACCAGAATCCCTGAAACTAGAGTTTCAGATGGTTATGAGCCACCATGTAGGCACTGGGAGCTACACGCGGGTCCTCTAGAAGAGCAGCCAGCGCTCTTAACCACTGAGCCATCTTTCCCACACCATGAGTTAGATCTTTGAAAAAGAAACTCTTCTGCCAATTCCTTCCTTGCCTACCCTGGGCACATCTGGACAGCCCACAGACCCAGATCACCAGAGTCCTGGGACCATTTGGGTGAAGATAGGTTAACTGTTCTGCTTGCCTGGTCTCACCATTGACACACTAAAAGTCTACTGGAGGCCATGTCTTCCTTTTCCTGCAAGAATTCCAGCTCCAAGGCTGGACACCAACATATACTTTCTCAAAGATGCTACTTACACTGTTATGTAAGCAGCCAGCCTCTCTGCACTCAGCATAAATCAAGTTAAACCATGAATGGGGAGGACAGTCCCATGCTACAGAACTATGTCATACCCTGGGCCCACAGCCCCACGGAACAGGGGAGAATCAAGGACTATATCATTAGCACTCCTTCTGCAGAGGTGAGCTTATGACCTGGGACTGGGGCAACCAGTCATAAGCTAGTCTGACTAGAATCTAAATCCCAAAGACTAGGGAGGGCCCCATGACTCCACTGGGAACCGAAGGTGTTCCAGAAGTTCCACTTGTGGGTTCTAGCTACAAGTCTCCATTGATGCCCCACACTTCTTCCGCTGTCCTATCCACCACACACACACACACACACACACACACACACACACACACACACACACACACACACACACAATTTTTTTAAGGGTCTTGCTATTTTGTTCTGGAACTTGTAATACAGACCAGATTAGTTTCATACTTGTGACAATCCTCCTGCCTTTGACTCTGGAGTGCTAGGTTTACAGGCATGCATCATAAAATAAAAAATTTTAAGCCCTCTCCTTCATGTTCCCAGCGTGAGGATTCCTGTTGTGTTTCTGGCTGCTTTCAGGTCCGCTCTCTTCCCCTTTGCTGGTCACTAGCAGGGCAGAAGGGCCGCGAGCCTGGACTGCTTCTTCTGTGGTGGGGAAAGCTGTATGTGACGCCCCACACAGCTGCTATTCGATCCTCTTACTTCTCATGCTCCATTTTAGCCTCCTGGAGGAGGCTCTGACATCCAATCCCATCAGCACTTTCTCCCTCAGGGAGAAGAAGGGAGTAACATGGAGCGAAAGGAATGAGAGGAATCAGAGCGAGTCTGGGAAGAGGAGGAGGCGATGGCTATTTTGATCCCATCACAGATGTCTGCATGGGACAGTGTCTCCATTATCAGCAAATTCTGAGGACATCCTCACATCAGTGCAAGGCCTAGTCAAAAAAGAAAGCTGGCCACAGCCCACAAGAGGGTCATGCACAAAGTCAAAATGCAAGGGAATTAATTCCCTGAGCCTCTGGAGCTGAGTCGAAGCATTCAGTGTGAAGACGGGAGCTGCATAAACATGGAAACGTGGGGTGGTGTTTGACAGGCAATAAGGACAAAGAGGGAGATCAAATCAGCTAAGCATTACCCCCTCCCAAAAGGTTGCATCTATAGTAATGCTATAGACATTTTTCCCTGGTAGAACTTATATAACTTACCAGTATAACACTAGTAACTGTTATACCAGGAAAGAAAACAAATTCAAGCTGGGTTTGGCTTTTTGGAGGAGGGAGTAAAATTCATAACTTCACCTTTAGTGTATGTGTAAATACAGCAATGGTGAAAGGGAAATTTGGAGGGGCAGTTCAGTGTTAGCACACGCTTTTGTTTCCAGCTCTCTGGAGGCAGAGGCAGGCAGATCTCTGTGAGTTTGAAGCCAACCTGGTCTACGGAGTGAGTTCCAGGATGGCTATACAGAGAAGTCCTGTCTCCAAAACAAAAGAAAGGGGAAAATTGGATTTCCCAAGCATTTTTGACCACAGCATTTTTTTTTAAATCATGAAACATTTCCTCTGGTGATCTATGAAACACAGAAGCTAGTGAGCTGTGGTTTTTTTGTTTTGTTTTGTTTTTGAGTTGAAAAGATTGACCTCCTGGTAGAATGTAAAGTGAACAGAAGAGGAAAATGGCCTGGCTTTGGAAAATACAATTATAGATTCAAACAGGGCTTGGGGTGTGGAATGTACCAGATGGAGAATGGAGGTTGTAAGTACTGGCTGAATGCTGGGTCTTAGGTTCCTTTTGTTTTGTTTTGTGAGAAAGAGTCTCCTGTAAGTCCCCCACATCCGTGTTTGTGTTTTAAAACTATCTTCCAGGTTGTTAGTAGATGAGTCTCATACTACTCAGCAAACTTGGAAATCTGACTTGAAGGAGAAGCTGAGAGTTTGTGATGTGGCTAGAACCACAGCATGCAAATTCTGTGTGATGTGGAAGTTAAGGGTGGGGGCCTTGAGAGAGGGAGGCAGACTGGCAAAGGGTGGGGAGTGGGGGATGGGGAATAAGAAAGATGAATGTGAAGTAGATGCCTAGATAGACAGGGGGCTTCAGTCAGGTTTCCCCATCCCTCAAGGCATTAGTGAAGCATCTTTGTCTCCTTGAGTGCATCCCCCTAAGTCTGGCACAGGGTTCTGTACTCATGAGAAGTGGAGGCAGGAGAACCAGGAGTTCAAAGTCATCAACTACATAGGGTTAGAGGCTGCTGTCAGAAAGACCCGTCATGCGTTCTCTCAAGCTATTACAAAACCAGGAACACAGTTGTGCCTTGTTATCAGGATTTATGTACAGTACACGACTGACCTGTGGTGTGCTAACACACACCTGGGAAGGTCTGCCTGCACCAGCACCACCAGGACTACAGATGTAATGGGAGTGCGTCAGCTCTTGGGTGCTGCCCGTGTAGTTCAGTGGTGGAGTCCTTGACTAGTATATGCAAGGCTCTGAGTTCCTTCCTGATTCCTAAGGGAGAGGAGGAAAGAGTAGTGGGGGAGGGAAGAAGAAAGAGGGGAGATGTCTCAGCTTCATCTTATGAGACCACCATCATATTTGTAGCTGGGGTTTCTTTCCAGCCTGATCTCACAGCCGATCAGCCCCAAATAAACACACATAGACTTTTATTAATTTATAAACTGTTGGCCGATGATTAGGGTTTCTTACTTGCTAATGCTCTCAATTATTAACCCATAACTATAATCTATGTATTTCTACATGGTCTTAGCTTACCAGAGAATGCATGGTGTGTTCTATCTTCCTTGTCTCTACATGGCGTCTCCTCTGGCAGCTTCCTTTTCTTCCTCCTCTCCCCAGCTTCTCCTTGTCTGGTAGCTCCAACTATGCTTCCTGCCTGGCTAGTAGTCGATCAGTGTTTTATTCATCAGCCAATTAAAGAAATGTATATACAGAAGGACATCCCCCATCATTTGTCCAAAGCATGTTATATATAACTGTCTTTAGGATCTTGACCTTGAAGATCTGAGCATGTTATACAACCTTCCTGTCCCTCTATTCCTTGTATGTATGACTGGTATGAAGACTGAATAAGAGAACATATGTAAAATGCTTATACAATATCCTTAGTAAGTTAGCAACATA